GGATACGATTTCCTGAGGGTCCGGCCATGGTTCTTTTTTTTTATGGAAACATCATATTATAGGGTGCCCCTGGGGAGACCCTCCATTGTTAATTATAAAGAGAGAGTCTAATAGATCGCACCATTGTCTCCGGCGAGAAGGCGCGAGCACCAACTAGCGAAATCGCCCAAGGAGGATGTGTCTTCTTGAAACGACAACTACCACGATAAACAACTAAATGTCTTTGCCCGCAGCATATCTTTCCCTCGTAAGTTTCGGCACTGGCTCATTAAATCCGTTCTGCTTGATTCTTGCGTTGGTATGGACCTCCATTTCTTTGTTGGCGTCATCCGATACGTGGAGCCCCAGAGCGAGCCCATTGAATGCGGAAATATCATTGCCAATCATATGGGTACACCACAAGCCCGTGAACAGAGTTTTCGTTTTTCTCGGAAACAACATTTATGTTTTACTCATCGAAAAAAAAAGAGACAAAAAAATATTATATCATAGGGTGCCACTGGAGGGATACTAACAACTATAAAGAGAGAGTCTATAATAGGTGCCACCATTGGCTTCGGTAGGAAGGCGCGAGCACCATTTCATGGAGTCTGCCCATGATTAATGTCACCACTTGGGTAAATTAACTAAGTGTCTACCCGTAGGACATTTTTGCTGAATTTCTAGACCATAGTTCATATTCGGTCTCGCTTTTATGAAAAACCATCATATTATAGCGTGTCACTAGGGGGAGACCCGGCCGTTGGTAATTATGAAGTGATAGTTTGATCGATCGCAGTTGGCTCCGGCGGGAAGGCGCGGGATGAGTCTACCCATAGCCAATGTCACCACTTGAGTAAATTAACTAAATGTCGTGTCATCCCGTAGGAGATGTTCTCCTGAGGGCCGTGAGCATAGTGCCTCCATTGCATTTCTGGGCTGTCCCTAGCTACGTTGAGGAGGGGATACAATGTGGGCGCTCTTCAAAGGTTTTCTATCCATGTCTCTTTGATCAGCTACGAGTTACTTCCTATTAGGTGCTACTGACGAGGTGTTGAGTAGGGGTTATTAACTGGGTGCTATTCTCTAGGTGTTACTACTGGGTGCTATTCATTAGGTATCATACCGGAGGTTATTGACTGGGTTTTATGAACTAGGTGATACATGTTAATATTGGGTTTTATTGACTAAGTATCATTAATTAGGTGATATTTACTCGGTGATATTGCCCGGTTGATATTAACCAGGTGCTTCTACTAGGTATTATTCCTAGTAGGTGTTATGAAATAGGTGTTGCTTACTAGGTCTCATTATTTGGGTTATGTTCACTTGGTGATATCTCCTGGGTGCTATTGACTAGGTGCTGTCACTGGACTCTTAGATGATATTGACTAGGTGATATTGACTAGGTAATATTGACTAGGTAATATTGACTAGGTGATAGTGACTGGGCACTATTAGCTACGTACTTCTCACTAGGTTCTATTAACTAGGTGTCTTTGACCAGGTGTTATAAGTAGGTGTTGTTAACCTAGTGTTTAAGCCTTATGTCATGATTTGGATCTTTTTTCAAGAATTCATCATATTATACGGTGTTACTGGAGAGATAAGACCCCATCACTAACGAAGACCTAAAGAAAAAATCTAGGATAGATCATTGGCTCAGGTAATAAGGCGCGAGCACCATCTAACGAAATCTCCCATAGAGGATGTGCCCTCTCGAAAAGACGTCTACCATAATCAATGTCACAACTTGAATAAATTAGTTAGATGTCATCTTCCCATATTATATGTTCTCCTGAGGGCCGTGACCATAGTTCATTTGACAAGGCGACAAGACGTACGTTTTCTTTGCCTCCTGGTCTCTAATCAAATACTCTGCAATCGACTCACAAACCAATAAAGGCTTCTTGGATATCAAAAGAAGTATACAGATGAGCTATCATCTCTTTGCGTGTATTGGAACTTGAAAGCCGAACTTTTGCCACCAGAAATGCACAATCTTTTTTATTGTAGAGGTGGGTCAATCTCTGTTCAATATAGCGTTTCAAAAACAACCTGCATTCGAATTGTTACTCCCCAATTTCTTCGTCATGAAAAGAAACATAGAAGCCGTGGCTGAATAGATGAATGGCGGTGAGATCATTTTGTACCAGCCATTCTTGTTTGGCAGAAAATGAAAAAGACGGGGAGGGCGCCGGGACTCCTTTGGCCCATGCAGTGAGAGCGGCGGTATAGGTTATCAGTACTTGAAAAGGATAGTATTGAGCAGACGGGCGGGGACTGACGACTCTGCCACGTGGCTCATCGGGCCAGTAATGGGTTGATGGACGCTTTTTATAAATGGTTCATAGATGGTTTGGTGAATGGCTTGATGGATGGCCTGATGGATGGCTTTAATAAATGGTTTCTCGAATGGTATGATCAATGGTTTGGTGAATGGTTTGATCGATGGTTTGATGGACGGATCCAATAATTCGCCTGATCTAATATTTTATACAGGGCTGAAAATTGTTAGGAAACACTTCAGTAACGACTATAATTTTGGTTGAATAGATGTCTTTAAAATGGCTATACAAAAGCTACTAGATGGCTACAGTAAGGTCTTCATTATCTGCACTTTTAAGAGAAAGTACATGTTGAGCAAGAGGCGACGTGGTGGTATTGGCGACTTTGCCACGGCTGGTCGGGGCAAGAATGGTTGATGAGCGGTATTAATAAATGGTAAGAGATGGTCTGATAATTGGTTTCGTGGATGATATATTGGACGATTCTTACACCGTGCTGAGAACTGGCATTTATAAATGTTTTATCGATGGTTTTATGGACGGTTTTTTAAATGATATGATCGATGGTTTCATAGAGGCCGAATTGATGCAATAGACTTCAATTGTGACTATAATTGTGGCTCGATCAACTGACTATAAATGGCCATAAAAAATCTTACTAAATGACTACAGAAGGTATATGTCATAAAATCTTCTTCACAGGCTGACTCGTCAGATCGGAGGATTTCTTCAATGTATTTAAAAGCTTTATAATTCACTGAGATGATTCAGATGGGGTTTGTCACCATATGGGAGGATGTAGAAATTTACTAGGATACGAAGCTAAAACACCAAATTATAGTGCATCAGGGAAAAAGCTGTACCAAGAGGCCGCATGCAGCAATATTCATCCGCAGCTGTTTTAAGAAATGGTATGTTTTGTTTTCTGAAATGAAAGCTATATTTTCATCGCGTCCTTTGTAAAACAGCAAAAAGAAAACTCAGACAACGCGTGTTGCAATCTTCTGTATACTTGCTGGAAAATATAAAAACAATTTCTCAAAAAATGAGTGCACATATGTTTTGTGTCTAATGCTGTCGCTATTTTTCAGGAAAGGCTTTGAACAATCAAACTTCAAATCAAGAGAGTCCAGCCGAAACTGAGCATTGGCTTATGATAAGAAAAAGGACGATAACAATCCAGTCCCACTGCACCTGCCTAGATACCCAAAGTGGACTAATAGTGGGGATTTTCTGGTGAGACATAAACCTGCGGCTCATATCCTCGCATTATCGACCACTGACAATCTGTTTCAGATATGAGCGTGTCATTCTTGGTCACCAAAACAGGTTTATAGACCACGGCACCAGAACTACGTCATGTCCGCGCAATGCGCATCAGCAATTGTCCTACATTCTCAATAATAAAATTAGGGCCAAAAACATTTCGCACCACACCCATCATCACAAATATGAAGTCTCGAAAGTCTGGGTGGATTTGATTGTGCAAACACCCTGATGAGCTGACCTCATACATCTTCTCGTCAGCGAGTCAAGGGAGCCATATCTGAAAAAAAAGCCTTAATCAAACACAGAGAAGCCACTAATTCAACTTAGGACACCCATACAGCCAGAATCAGCCGAAAAAACTCAAAACCCTCCATAATAAAAGTCAGGTCACCCTTTTATGCCACCCAAAACTCCCACTGATGCCATCATAACCCCCTCTGATGCCAACCATACAAAACCCTCTGATCTGACTCATGCCTCGCTGCTGATGCACGTCCTGCACCATGCAACACATCTCAACTAATAACCTGTCGTCCAATAAACCTCGTGAATGCCCCAGAAAACCCCCGAAAAACTCCCAAAAAAGGCCACAGAATTACCGGAATCACACCAGCATGCACTCACACCACTCGCACAGCGGCGAGTACATCTCGCATGGGGAAGGCTCTTTGGAAAGCATGGTGGCCACGGCCCAGGCCCGCAAATTCTCCCACTACTGTCTCACCGAACATATGCCCCGGCTTTCCGGCAAATACCTTTACCCCGAGGAAATCGAAAAAAACTATACCGCCGAGAATTTGGACACAGACTTCAGCAAGTATTTGACTCACGCACGCAAAATCCAAACGCGGCTCCGGGATGCCGGCTCGTTGCAAGTGCTTGTGGGTTTCGAGGTCGAGGGCATCGACGGGCCGCATATCCGGGCCGCCAAATCCATTCGCCAGAAAACAGACATGTGCGTCGGGTCCGTGCATTATGTCCACGGAATCCCCATTGATTTCAGTGCCGAGCTCTGGCTCCAGGCACGTGCCGCCTGTGCCGACAACACGTCCCGGTGTCTCTACAAAGATTACTTCGACTTGCAGTACCAAGTTCTCACCGAGCTCCATCCGCACGTGGTGGGCCACTTTGACCTCATCCGGCTTTGCGAGGCAAGCGAGATCGACAGCTCGTCCGGAATCCACATCCGGAGTATCGACATTGAGCAAGACTGGCCGGACGTATGGCAGGCCATCACCAGAAACATCCAGTACGTCGTCTCGTACGGGGGGCTCTTTGAGCTCAACTCGTCGGCAGTGCGCAAAGGCTGGGTGTCGCCGTATCCTCGCCTTGACATAGCGCAGGCCATCAAGCGGCTCGGGGGCATGTTCTGCCTTTCGGACGACGCGCACACCACGGCCCAAGTGGGCCTCAACTACGACAAGGTGTGGGCCTACGTGGTGGACGAACTACGCTTGAGCCACGTGCACCACCTCGAGTTGGACGCGGCGGGCAACACCGTGGTGGTGGCCGACCGGGTCGCCGAGCTCGCGCGGCTGTCCTTCTGGGCATAGTCCCATGGAGGGGTTAGGTATATGTACATTGGAGCCGGAATAGACGCGTCGTAGGAATGCAGGCGGCAGCAGGTGCACGCTCAGTAGGACCGGCCGAACAAGGTGTAGTTGACGGCCATGCGGGCGCACCGCACACACTTCTGGTTCTCCTTCAAGGCGGGCTGGTCGTGGGGGATGCACAAGGACTTGGCGCCCATGGAAGGCGCGCGCTCGTCCTGCTCCTCGTCATCGCCATCGTCCTTCTTTGCGGACGCGTCCTTGATTTCGTCCTCGCACTCGGGCACTCCGCACCACGGCGCCAAGATCACGTTCTTGGCGTTGAGCGTGGGCACGAAGTCCTCCCAGGCCTCCACGGTCACGCGGTGCTGGTCGAACTTGGCGCGCGCGGCCTCCAACAAGCCCTTCTGGATGGTGTCCAAGATTTGCGGGATGCGCGTGGCCAAGTCGTCCAACTTGACGGCGTACTTCTCGTTGGTGTCACGCCTCACCGCGGTGACCAGGCCCGCGGCCAAGTCCTTGGGGCCAAACTCCACGCGCAAGGGCACGCCCTTCAACTCGCTGTCGGCAAACTTCCAGCCGGGAGAGTAGTTGTCTCTGTAGTCGCCCACCACACGCACGCCGGCGTCGGCCAACGCGGCCTCGATCTTCTCGGCGCCGCTGGTGACCTGCTCGCGCTGCTCCGCCGAGGACTTGGCGGTCAAGCCCACGGGGATCACCACGACCTGGGTCTGGGCCACGCGCGGCGGCAACACCAAGCCCTTGTTGTCGGAGTGCGTCATGACCATCACGCCAATGACACGCGTGGACAAGCCCCAGGAGTTCTGCTGCGCAAACACGCGCGGCTGGTCCGCGCCCTCGGGGCTCTCCACGGAAATGTTGAACATGCGCGAGAAGTTGTCGCCCAAGTGGTGCGACGTGGCGCCCTGGATGCCGCGGCCCGTGGCTGCAATGAAGCCCTCCACGGTGGTGGTGAAGTCGGCACCCGCGAACTTCTCGTTCTCGGACTTGACGCCCTTGATCACCGGCACGGCCAACAACTCCTCGTAGATGCTCTTGTAGAGGTCCAAGATCTGCGCCACCTCCTGCTCGGCGCCGGCCTTGGTCAAGTGCGCGGTGTGGCCCTCCTGCCACAAGAACTCACGCGTGCGCAAGAACGGCTGCGGGTGCTTGAACTCCCAGCGCACCACGGAGTTCCACTGGTTCAAGCGCAAGGGCAAGTCGCGGTGCGAGCGGATCCACTTGGCGTAGTACGGGTACATGACGGTTTCCGACGTGGGCCGGATGGCAATGTGCTCGTCCAACTCGGACGAGCCGGCGCGCGTGACCCACGCCACCTCGGGCGCAAAGCCCTCCACGTGGTCCTTCTCCTTCTCGAGCACCTTGGACGACACGAACATGGGGAAGTACGAGTTCTTGACGCCCATCCTGCGGATGCGCTGGTTGAACCAGTCCTGGATCTCCTCCCACACGAAGTACGAGTTGGGGCGCAAGATGTAGCACCCGGACACGTCGTAGTAGTCCAACATCTCGCCCTTGACCACCACCTGCGAGTACCACGAGGAGAAGTCCTTCTCCTTGTCGACGGTGATGCCAATCAACTTGGCGTCCTCCAACTTGGCGGCCTCCTTGTCTTTTTTGGCCGCGTTTTTGCGCCTGCTGCCACCCGCAGCCGCCACGGCGCCGGGCGCGCCGGCGCCCGCGGCGGCCTCGGCAAAGTCCGCGGGAATCACCTCGATTCCCGTGCTTTCCAAGTGTGCCTTGACGGCGGCCGCCGCCACGCACGCCGTTGCCAGCGCGGTGGCCACCTGCAACACGGAGCCCGCAGGGGCACCCCAGATAGCCGTGTCCACCAAAAGCCGGATGCGGCCGGCGCCCAAGCCGGCGGTTAAGTTGGCAATCAGCACCTCCTTGGCGGACGTCTGGAAGAACTGCTGCACCAAGTCGTCGGAGGCCAAGCGCGGCTCCTTGACGCCCGCGAGGCGGGCCACGGCGCCCAGGGGCGTGGCGGTGGCAGCAAGCGCAAAAACAACCACGGGCACGGGGGTGGCGGTCTTGGCGGTTTTGGGCTTGAACACGAGGGTCTTGGTGGCGAGCGCGGCCTCGCACGTGGGCACGGTGGCCACCAGGAGGGCGGCCAAGGATTGTTCGAGGTCCATTGCGTGTTTTTGGCGGGGGCGGCTTTTTTTTTGGGGGCGGAACTGGTGGGTTCGAAGCGTGGAAGAAGAGATGGAGGAAGTTGAGCGTAGAGAATTTGGTGGGTTTCGCGGTGGAGGAAAAAAGGGCCGTGCGCGCAGGACTGGCCTGGGGCCAGGCGAGGAACCCATGATTTGCATGGGGGGTGTTTTGGCTGGGGCTGGCCGTGGGCGTGTCTTTCATTGAGGCACGCTGGCTGTATTTTCTGGATGTATTTTCTGGATGCATTTTCTGGATGCATTTTCTGGATGCATTTTCTGGATTTATTTTCTGGATTTATTTTCTGGATGTTCCGGGTTTTTGGTGCTGTTCTGGAGACCCTTGGCAGTGCTCTTGGGTGCAGGTCTGGGATGGGGTTTAGAGCCGGTGGGGGCCAGGCACCTCTCCCCATTCACTTAGCACGAGGGCCGTACGCTTTTTTATAGCTTAGATGATTTGGTATGGCTGTGGCTGAAAAGCCGGCACAGCCACGGGAAAAACGCCCACCCGTACCGGGGTCTGCTTGGATATGGCTTGTATGCTTCGGGACACCGTGCTTGCCATTCCAGTTAGAGCAAATTGAGAACGGCGGAACTGTCGTGGCACGTGAATTCGCAAATACCGCCTCCGCAGAGCCCGAGCCACAGTTGCTTTGGAAATCGTGGATTCGGTTTGGATGGCTCATGCGGCCTGGGTGCAATTTCCAAGCGTTCGATGCAGGCTCGGCACCCGATCCAGTGGTGGGTGTTCTTGATATCCGGGCGAAATTTTGGGGTGGGCTGCTGGATGCAGTTCACAGCACGACTCTAGATGAGCCCGGGCCGGTGGCCCAAATATGGCGCTTGGTGCACCTGTTCTGGGCTGCACGATATAATAAATGGTCGGCTTGTCTGCATCATGTTATTGAGTCTTTCAAAAGTTGAGCCGACTTAGACTCAACTCGCTTATATTCTGGCCCCATGTTTATTCATGTGGTGTTCCACGAATCAGGGCGTGCGAGACGAGTGCGCATGCGCTTTCGAATGGGTGCAAATCACCCTCCGGTTGTTCATCTACTTAATCTCGTATATGTGTAAAACACATTTGCAAGTATCGAGCTCTAATTCAATACTTCCGTCGCTCTCTACCCTTTTCTGCAGTGAAGATGAACACAATCATCAGCCGCCTGTTTGACCGACACAAGATTGGCGCACTCATCACTTGTACTGTGATTGCCACAATACTTTTTTTTTCTCCAGAGATTTTCAGCTAAGGCAACGAAAAACACGCTTGGAGGTCAAAAACCCACCCCATGCTGTCGCCAAAATCAGAAGATACAACTGCTACGATGTCGGCTTAGCGAATTGACTCGATATTGACTTGGTGACTTGGTGGCTTGGTGAATTCACACGATGCGCGCGGATCGGGCAGCCCTTTTCGCAGCCGTACGTTGTTAGGCCAGCCGACTGCAAAAAGTCACCTTTACTATATAAACAGGTGTTCGCCCCACCTTTTGCAAACACGCTTCCATCACTCCATTCTTCACGGACAAACGCTTCATCATGATTGCACAAGTGATTTTTTGCTTCAGACTCATCAATTGCGTTTCGGAAATCGCCGGGCTCTGCCTTACGGGCTATTTTCTTGTCGGGCTCCTTCTTGAACTCTCAGTCCAGGCAGAATCTACCACCATGGACTTGAACGTTGTTCAAATCAAAGAATACTACTCTGGCCCCTTTGGGGCTGAACCCGAGATTCAGAATCACAGTGGAAACATCTATGCTGATTTCATCCCTGTTCATATTGTTGCTGCCTCTGCTGCCCCTCATCCCAAATATTCAAAGACCACAGAAACGGACTGCTCTTTTGTCTCCTCTCCATCAAGCGACGGTAGCATTTTGGAATTGTCCGATGGGGACACTGGTGCTTCTTCCGTTCTTTCTTTCAACTCAGACTCTAAGCTTGGCTCCTCGGCAGGTTCTTCTATGAAGCCAGCCGTAGTTGTAGACTACATTGAGACTGATGAGATCAAAAGAACGCGAGGAATATTGATCCCGGACAATAATTCTATTTTCAATGGAGAATCTAAGATCTCCAAAGTAGAAACCACCGCTCTGCTGCCTGCCGCTAACCCAGATATTGACATGGAGTCTGGGTGGCAAGTTCAGGGAAGAAAGCGCCAAAATTGCCACAGGAGGACTGGCACAAAAGTGGAGACAGTTTCGCGGACTTCTGGAAAGAAACTCGCCAGTGGGCCAGAATCTCCTGTCTCCCAATCTTCCCTTTCTAAGAACCCTTTTCTTGTTTTGGCCGACATCGATGAGAACGACTATCAGGAACCACGCCCAAGCAGACCACACAAGAAAGTTCCTGGAAATCTCGAGCTCTCTTCCCTTGAAAACGTGAGTCCTGGTATTTCTGCGGCTATGGATCTGGCTGTGGACAACTACGAGGCTCTGACCAAAAATTCAGTCACCAATTCGATGGATATTGCCTGTGAAACTATTGATGAGAAAGCCCTGGGACTCAGCCAGGATTTGCTTGAGGGATCACCCCCAGACGCGGAAGAGGATCCACATATGGGCTCCAAAAAAAGTCGGAACTACTGTTGAAATGTCTGATACTTTGGTATCTAATATTTCTGATGATGGTTGGAAAGTTCAAGGCAGAAAACGCAGAAATTCCAGGAAAAGACCTGAACGGAGCGTCATTATGGCGACAACAACGGGATCAATCCTGACTGATCAAAAGGGTTCCTTGGGGTCAACCCCATCAATGAAAAATACCTCCTCTAATTTGAATCCTTTCCTGGTGTTGGCTGAAATAAGCGAAGAAGATTTTCAATAAGCCACACCAAGAAGATGTTTATGTCTCGGAAACTGAGACAATTGCTGGCCACTGAATCAATGGACAGCATCGTGCTACTAATTTGTTAGCAACATTCTCGTAGACTGATGATTAACGGTTGAAACAGGCCGTACTTTCTATCTCTTTCGAAACCAAAAATCAAAAAAAAAAATCAAAAAATCAGAAAAAGATCAAAAAAAAAATCAAACATACATCTGTGGGGTCTTTGCCTCTTCGATGTTTTCTTCATTCAAAAGATATATAGCAATAAATATAACTCTACATTTACATTTCACAGGAAAGTCTTGGTGCTGGATCACAAGTAATTTACAGTCTTTCTTATATTCATAAAGTTTGCAAGTGTTGCACCATGCATCAAACTGCAGAAAAACTCTATTGAATAAACCGCCTTCTCGCAACAAAATCATCAGTATAATCGTGCGAATGTTTTTCTTTCAGGTTTTTGATAGTCTTCCTGTGTATGAGATTCCGTC